TTATTTCTGAATTTCAGCTAACATTGCATCAATTTCAGCTAATATGGAATCCATTTCTATTGTCTGAGACTTTCTTTTGACTTGGTCCTGAATACTGCTATTCCTAGCCTGGGGTATAGATGAAGAAGCCTGTGCTTGAAGTTTTGGACCATCACTTGTTTCTGGTTCAGATTTGGGCTCCTTCTTCAATTCTGGATCACCTAAAGCGTAATTTTTCCCCGCATCAAGACGGCTGATTTTATGCCTTAATGTGATTTTTGAAAGATTGTCAAGATGTTGAGGGGTTGGATTTAGACCGGCATGAACCATCGAGGCGTGTTTAGCTCCTATTTTTCTTAGAAGCTCAGGGGTAATCCCATCTTCATTCTGATTAGTTTTTAAACTCTTTATGAATTTGGCAAATATCACATTATTACGCTTTCCAGTTTCAGTATAAACTGGATCACGCAACTTCCCAGCCTTAATAGCGTCTTGAATCCAAGTAAGTAATTCTCTAGCACGTTCTGGATTCTTTTCCATAGAGAGTAAAGGCATAGGCGTCGGTTTATCTCTCTGTTTGCGACATCCAGTGCAATACCAAGAATAACCAGCTTTATACCACATTGGCGGATCTTCAGAATTTGGTTTGTAATTAATAATCTGGAGAGATGATACTTCAGCAGGCCTCATGCTCAGCATCACTATCACATCCGCGAGATCCTGCATAGAGGGAATTTTAGAAGTATCGATATTCTGGAGTCTCCTAAGCACCTTCTCAAAGGTGAAATGCTCTGGAGTTTTACCTGGATCAGCCAAGCGCTTCTCAGTCCGTTCTTGCTGGATTTTGTTGGAAGCCATAGTGGTCTTCGAATCTTTGGCATAGCGATCAATAAGTTTGGCCCGTACTCTGCTAAATACTTACGAAATCGTGATTGGTTTGAGCTAGAAGCAACCATTTCCTTATCATCAATTACTCCATCCTTACTTCCTTTTGGTCCCAAAGATAAAGTATTAATGAAAATATCCTATTTATCTTCACTTTCAGCGACTTCTTGAGCCCTTTTCCTAACAGAATATATCTTATTTCTCTGGTCTGACATGAGAGCCTCTATCTGCTCTTTGCTAAATACACTTCTTTTTTCAGTGTCTCTTGCAAGGGCTTCCTTAACGCACTTACGGGCCTTTCAATATGGAAGTAAAGCATTAAGTTCAGGGCCATGCTCACTTAATTGCTCTAGACTAGACTCTGCGGATAAGTTATATCTTTCTAAGAACTGTTCTAGAATCAAAACGAATTTATTTTTTTTCGCTTTCCAGGTCTTTTTCTGTGACTGGAACATTAGAAGATCTCTGCTCAATATGACATATATAATCCTTAATACATCGCATGCGAAATAACATCTGATTCGTTCCAGCATTTGTTTCTATGTAGCTATTAAAAAGACAGAATGCTCGCTCAAACTTAGGATTAGTGCAAGATACTCCTATTTTTAAAGTGCTGGTATAAGCAACTAGGTCAATATTTTTCCATGATTCTTCTACGTTGCTAAAATCTTGAGCTTTTTCCATTGGATCAGATTTACCGTGATATTCCTTGATCCTTAATTCTGGAAATTCAGTCTTGAGAGCACGAATAATTCCTTGTAGATCTTTTCTAAGATGGCAAATAAGTGATGCACTTTTACGATTCTCAAAAGGTAATAAGGAATTCTGCTTAGCCCAATCCCAGAGTTCGATTAATATAGATTCTTTATTAGGAGCCAAGCGAAATGTTTTACCTTTCTGAGGCTGATAAGTGTTATGAATAATTGAAAATGGTTTATACTTGCGAAGAGCTTTAATCCA